CATGAATTTTAGAAGCAATTTGATAATTCAAGAAGGAGATATTGGCATTAGAATTTTAACATTTAAATTGGAGAAGGAGGCTGACCAATACCTAAGTAGAATTTAGGATTGATCTTCTTCAAATTTTATGTGCTTATTGCCAACTTAGTTGTTGAGAGGTATGTAAAATCTTAAGTAAGATCAATGGTATAATTGGTAGATATTAAAATTCTAAACTATCCTAAGATTAGGTTAATTTGACTAAAGTTTGGTTAGAATTTAGGATTTATATTGGATTTAAGATTGTTTAGGATTAACTAGGATTTGATTTAGGGTTTAATTAAGAACTATTAGGATTTTAATTAAGATTAAATTAATATTTTATTAGAATTTTTTTAAGATATTTTTAAGATTTATTCTAATAATTCTTTTGAATTTCATAAGGATATTTTTATGCTTCTTTTGTAATTTCTTTTAGGTTTTTTTGGATTTGATTAAAGCTTGATTAAAATTTTTAAGATTTAATTGAAATTATTTAAGATTCTATTAGAATTAAAATCTTGTTGTTGCAATTTTTTTTCTACCTTCTATAACCAGGTGCTCAGTGCATTTTCAAGCAAGGCTTTACATAATACAACAACATATGCTTATGACCTTGTATGATCTTATATGTCATCTTATATGTTGGGCGCTTATGCTACAGTCCTATGAATACTAAATTGTCTATAAATTAAGATAGTTATATAAAAATGTGGATGCGTTGACTTATGCAACTTAAAAAAATACCAAACGTTATTTCAAGTTTGTAAATCTGTTGCTCTATATATACACAATTGATTCTTTTGGCATCTCCTCTCCTCCCCCCTCTTTTTTCTCCTCCCTCTCTCTTTCTTCTTCCCCTTCCAATATACTCAATCTTATAAAATAAAGTTAGATTAATCAATTTAGGTTTTTATTTATAAGTATTCGAGATCAAGATCATGTTGATATACTCTGCCTCTTCTTGCATCTTAACTTCAAAATTAAAACTTTTTTCCTACATCCTTGACTTCAAAACCAAACTAACCACAATTTATTTGTTAACAACCAACAATACTTCTTCTCTTTTTACATCCAATTACTTCAAGTAGAATCTCTGTAGCAACTACAACCAATATGCTTCTTGATGGCTCTTCTACCTTAAAATATCACACCTTAACTAAACACATTGTAAATAAGTACTTATTCAGATTGATGTTATGTGGTAATATGACTATATGGTGAAAGATAAAAAAATATGGATTTTATTATAAAAGAGCCTAATAGAAAGATATAGTAGCAAAATAAGGATAAATGATAGGAAAGTAGTAAAAACTTTTAGACTTAATGTTATTTTTTTGTAGAAGAGACTTTTATTTATTTTATTGGAACATAAATGAGCCAAATCAAAGTAGAAAAGATAATTAATTGATAAAGACATCTTAAGAAGAAGAAGTTAAGAATAAGATTAAACAAAATTTATCTCATAATATAAAGAATTGATACTGAAAGTAGATTGGTCATGAATCAAGATTAGAATCAATCACCAAGTAGAAAACTACACACCAACGGCAATTTTAGAAGTCTTTGATTAATCAAAGAATAAGAATTGAGAACAAAATTATGAAAGAAATTTTGTTACTTTTTTTTATGTGATTTAGAGATATATTGAGTTTTTTACGCCTTTTCAAAGTAAGAGATGTATTTAGAAGTTTTAGACTCTTAAAAATATAATGAAGTTTTTAAATTTGAAGTTTTTGTGAGTTTTATAGATAATTTATAAATAAAAATTTATGTGATTGTCAGTACGCTTATTATAAATGTGTTTAAAAAATTTAATATCAATCAAACAATTAGATTGAAGGATATAAGAGTTTTATTGGATTAAGATCTTAAATACTTGAAATTTAGGGCCATTGATTCTTTTTGCAATCTTACAAAATCCACTAATTCAATTGAAGCAAAAATTGGTGAAAGCTATTTTAACTTAAAAATATATATACTAGCCAATTATTGAAGCAATTTAATAGTATACTAAGGAAAAATTGTTGTTGAAAGTTCAATATTTTAGTAAGAGATGGAAGGCAATTAGCATTTGAGAGGTTTGGGATTTTTTTTGTTTAATTGGTGAATTAATTTTTCTGAAATTTTGTATGTGTATTAATTGCTTGTAGATTGAAGTGTGCGTAAAAGTTTAAATAAGATCAATGGTTTAATTTTTAAAATTTTAAAAAAACTATGAAATTAGTTAAGATTTGGTTAGGATTTTCTTTGAATTGTTTATGGTTTGTTTAGGATTTAGTTAGGATTTTATTAGGATTTGATTAAGATTTGGTTGAAATTTGTTAAAATTTTATTAAGATTTTTTTAGGACTATACTAAGGTTTAGTTAGGATTTATCTAAGATTTATTTGGGATTTAGTTATTATTTCTATATTTATTATTTAAAAGATTTTTTATTATTCTTTTAAGATTTTTATTTTATATTTTTTAAGAATTTATTTATTATTATTATTTGAATTTTTTCTTTTTTTAGTAATTTCTTTTAAATTTCTTTTGAATTGGTTAAAATTTGATTAGGTTTGTTAAGATTTAATTATATTTTATTCAAGATTCTATTAGACTTGGTAGAATCTTGTTGTTGAATAATCTATTTACCTTCCACAACTAGGTGCTTGGTGCATTCTCAAGGAAGAATTACATTATACAACACCAATAGCAATCTTTTTGTCATAACCTCCTACCTCATATTAAACATCATATAGATCCTACTCCAACTCGACATAGCTCCACAAAAGAAACTTAGTCATGCACAATATCATTATACCATGTGATTTTTTGCTTCACTTATTGACTAAATCCATGAACACTCCTTGTTGTGATAGCTAACAAAAGCAAGCATATAGAAAGGAGATTCTTAGGGGCAACCACTCCTTCCCTTACCTTCAAACAGCCAATTGCTCTATCCACAACTTGCAACACCTCATGGAAAACAAGATGTACAAGGTTTTCCTAGCAATTTGTTTGAGTAGCGCAATACCAACCAATGTGAGTATGACATGAAGAGGAGAATTAGGTATCATCTTTCCTAGTACCTTGCTTGGGGTGATGCTTTTTTCTATCAGAATAATACTCAATAAGGCAGATGCAGCCTTCAGGTCCCAAGGCGATCACAATTAAACAATATACTAGACTTGTTTCATGCATCCTGATTAGCTGGTCATTTTGGAGTTAAGCAAATTTTAGCTAGGCTACAATAGGTTTACCATTGGATGAGGATGGTTCTGGATGTCACCAACTACATCCACAGTTGTGAGACATGCAAGATCAAACGTAACTATCCCAAAACAATCAACCTCAAACTACTTATTCCCAGTTTCAGCACCAATTGCTCAGGTGGGCATAGATTTGATGGGCCCGCTCATCCCTTCTACCAAGAAGCATCGATACGTGATCGTAGCGATCGACTACTTCACCAAATGAGTGGAGGTCAAGCCACTGCAGTTGAAGGACTGAGACCTAGTTGCTCAGTTCTTTTTTGACAAAATCATGATGGTTCACGGCAGACCTATTGAAATCCATACCGACAATGCATCGAAGTTTTGCAATGCCCTCATGGATGTCCTCGCAATCCACATGACACTTAAGCACACAACAACCACTCCGTACCATCCACAATGTAATGGGCTCACGGAGCGATTCAACCGCACCTTGTGCTCATTAATCGAGAAGAATGGCAGCTACAACTCATCTTGCCACACGTCGCTTCTAGCTATTGTGTTTGCATACAGAACTAGTGCACATGCAAGACGAAATTTTCTCCTTTTGAATTATTGTATGGCAGGAAACCCAGGCTCGCAATGACTCTGCAAGACGACATGATCACTGTCACCGAACTAGCGGACCTGGCTGGCTATGTGGAAATGTTGATTAAGCAAAGGCGACAGTGCAATCGCATCGCACATTACAATATCGCGAAAGCCCAGTTGTAGCAGAAAGAAGGTCATGACAAAAGAGTGCGCTACACCAAACCCTTTCACATGGCGGATTGAGTAGCGCTACGAGTGGAAAAACGTTGCAAAAGGAAAGGCAAAGTCAGGGCGCGATACGATGGCCCTTATGCCATTACAAGACTAGATGTCCACCAATACAAATTCCACTTAACGCCCTCACGCGAATCAGTACCATTGGTGGCATATCCAGGACCGGGATTCGATCTAGTTTACTGAGGACTAGATGCAGACTTAACCCACATCAATCTGCTTGGACGTGAAGTGTCGTGGAAACCCACAACCACAACTTAACTACACAATCAAGCTGCATTACGCATTGCTGGCCATATCATGTCAACTACGAATAGAATAGCCACTTACCGACAATCTTAATCCTGTCCAAGCGCGACGGAAGTGCTTAACGGCTTCCGCGCCTCATCTACCCAGCGACCAGGAATTTGCCAGAGTCAGACGCAACCTCCTAGTCAAAGGTTAGTTAAACAGACAACCAGATATGCAAGAGACGAAGCACGACAATTTAGCGGCAAATCGTATTCGCAAGAGGAGTACCCAAATACCTTTTAGGTTTCCATCCATTGATTTATACTAGAGAGGTACAGCCTCATCCGTTTAAACTGAAGCAGAAGGAGCACTAATTGGCGTGGGCAAGATTAGCGCCAGGCTAGAACTTATCCCTACACATGTAGTGCTATTCCCCCCGTAGGATTAAGTGATTGTCTAAGACTTAGCCCTACACCTCTTCACAAGTAAACAAGAAAGAAAGGTAGATATTAATTGGTAATGAAGAATAAGAGAATCTTAGCCGTTGATTCCCAAGTTCCATCTCTAATATTTTCTAGTGTTCTAACCATGGGAACTATTGTGCATTAGCAAGGGAACGGAAAAATCTACTTGGAGATTGAACGCGGCGCCACTTGGTTCTCAACCCAGATATTTGGGTACCGGGTCTTCAATATCCGGGTATAAGGACTCTGCGATGCCGTGAGACTAGCTTTTATAACCTTGGCTATGGTTGATGAGAAGGAGCCGTAACTGAGGAAGTAAGCAATGGCGATGGCTGTGGCGATGGCGAGGGCTGCAGTTGTGAGCTGCCGCGCTGCTCACACTCAGCTTTACGAGGTGTTGAAGGTGGAAAGGATGGCTTCGCCGGCGCAGCTCAAGTCTGCCTACCGCAATTTGGCCAAGAATCATCACCCGGATGTCAGCTCGCACCCGGACGCACAGGCGCGTTTCATCGAGCTCAGCAATGCTTACGAGGTTCGTCTTTTTAATGTCCTAAGTGAGTTGGAAATTTTCGAATCCTGATTTTTTGTCGATTTCCTGAGATGTTACGGAGCATCCTCCATTGCATCGAGTTGTTATCCGCGGAGTTATACATTGGAATTTGCAATGTGGAGCAAGCGTAACCTTCCACAGCGAGTTATTCGTATTCGGTTGTGTTTTTGATTTGTTGAAGTTCTTTATGCAGTTTCAAGTGCCCCTGCGCTAGATTGCACAGCTTGGGCGAAAAAAATTGGATAAGAGAATGAGGGTATCCAGGAGGCTATAGATGAGAAAACTATTAGCAGAGGCACATATCATGCTAAATTTATAATAACTTTTAGAACCATGCATAGTAGATATGAATCTTTTTATTTATTTTTTTGGTTTTTCTGGTACCGTAACAAGGTCACTCAATAGATCCAGTGGCTATCTTTTTCATCTGAAAAGGGTGCGGCGGTTAACTCGAGTAAAATTCAGAATGTGACTTTGGCATGTGGATTTCACCGTTGCACAATTCACTTAGTGCATTCATCATTTTAGTTCGTATTGTACGGTTGGGATCATAAATGACTTCTAGGCAGAACCAAATTTGTGTATTTAGTGTTGTCAATGATATTACAATTTTGCATCCGAAATTTTGTGTATGAAATCACCTAACGCAACATACGTTATTATGACCACCGTATGAATTCAATTTTACAATGTGTTCTCTGATTGGATTGAAACTGGGCAGATTCTCATCGACCCAGAAATGAGGAAGATATACGATGAGACGGGTGAGCAAGGTCTGAAGGGTCGCGAGAGCAATAGAAGAGGAGCTGCTCAGGAAGTGTGGGAAACGTGGGCTGAGTTTAAGCCTTTTAAGAGGAAGTTAGTTTCTAAAGTCTCTTCTGTTTCTTATTACTTCAGCACTTGCATGTCGTTCAAAAATTCTCGTTTTGGAGCTTTTCCTTGTCCAGCCACCCTTTTTATACTTTCTTATGTCTTATTACATGTTTTTGTTCTAGAATAACTGCCAAAGCTTACACAAAGCTATAGCCTCGCTCTTTTTTGGCAATACACTCATTGTCCATGGAGCGTGATTTGGACTGCATTTTTTTTGTTTCATTCTCTACTTCCACCAAGATGCTGAGTAAAGTTAACAATCACAGAACTAGGAAAGGAGATGCTCGTAGTTCTGCGGCGGCTAGATCGGGATCAACCTACACTCCTGAAAATGGTGAAAGTGTGTGTGGGACAGAAGCACAAAACGGCGACGTTGTGGAATATCCCCTGTCTGATGCTATCAAAGCTCAGCATCAAGATGATCGACTGAAAGGTTTAAATTTTAACGTTGTCACACCTAATATTGAAATTAATAATTGTGTTCATGTGTGGTTTATATTTGTGTGCTGAACACCTGAAATCTGGCAATACTTTTGCTCTTGTCAATCAAAGTACAAAAAAAGCTGTAAGCGTCATTTATTCAGTGTTAAAGCTTGCTTTTCAAATCCTTTTGTTTTCTTTTCCAATTTGGGTATCAATAAGTGCGCTGATCAAGCATGAGACTGAACAGCACTTTTCTTCTTGTCCACTCTACCATCTTCTACTGAATATTTAAAATGGGGCTGAGGAATGTGTTGACGCAATGCTGTGTCTTGTGTAGGGGTTGGTCTTGTTGTTAGTCGAAACATAGGTAAGTACTGAAAATTCCGAATCGAATCGGAAATCTTGAGAAACGCGGAACTGCATTATCACTCCGAAATGCATTACTCTCTCACTTCGTTACTTTTCTACCTCTTCTTATTTTGAACAATCTTGATTTTCTTAGTGCTGAACTATTGGAACAAGATCAATCCTCCATGCACAGAGACTGCACAGCTTTGTTTTAATTCTAGGTGTGTTTTCTGATGTTCAGATCGAGGAGACAGAGACAAACTTTCGGTAGAGGTATAGTATGCTCGTCTTCTTATTGATTCTAGATTCCTTATCACTTCATTGAACCTCATCATGAATTTATGATAATAAGCTTCATAAAATTAGGTTTCATGCTGGAAACTACTATGCAGAATTTGACTCTTGTGGAGATCGAGCCTCTATATAGAGAACCCAACAGCAGTGTGTGGCGAGCAGATCCTATGGAGGGTGCTGCATTTGCGTCATTGCCGGACTTGCGTATCCTTAGAACAGTACGTTTCACGCTCTTCCTAAGCTTATTTTCAATGCTTGATTTTTCACTAATTTTTAGAAGTTCTCCATATTAAGTTCCTTTGTAATGACTAATCCAATGAAGTTCTGTATCCCTTACAACGGAGTCAATTTTTCTAGTGATAATCTTAGTCATCACCGAAGTTTTGTGGTAATATCTGCTTCAGTTCTAAATTTTTACTATTGCTAGAAATTGCTTATCAGTCAGTTGCAACTGCATGCCTTGCTATTAAACGTTTTGGAAGTAACCTTGCTTTTGCATTTGAGCAGGAATTTAATAGAGTGACTGACGAATGGATAGTTTTGGATGATCTTTCACTCGATTGTGATAGCCCTACTTATGCTGAGGAGATCATTCTTTGAAACAAGTGGTTTTATGAAAAGTCTTGAATCCTTGAGGGTCCTGCTCTTTGCGAAAACTCGTGCGTTCTAAGCTAATTCATGGCACAGCTATGTTCTATCCACTGAGTTCTTACAGTTTCGGTAGTGGCCGCTACGCAGTGCCAACACACGACCGCACAAGAACTAGATAAATGAAAAAGCTTGCACACCAGCTTTTCTTGGCGGTGTACAGTTTTCTTCTTACAAAATGATTTCAGGACGGTTTGTTTCTTGTGTGGAGAAGAGTAGGAGTTGCCACGAAGGTTTTAGGAACGAATGGAATGAAAGATCAACTGAACGTTATATTTATCAAAAACACTTTGTAGTTTTGATATTTCATGGGTGGATATACTAAGATATCGTTCTTTCAGTCACGGGAGTCTTCATAATCCTTATCGTTAACCTACGTGGTGTTCGCTTTGCATTGTCTTTTACTGTGTCACTGTTACCACCGTCCACATCGTAGTCACATGGAAAAGCCTCAAACATGATGCAGTGATGTTAATTCTATTGAGTATGGTATGATCACTCGTTTTGTGAACAATACATGGGCCCATTCTAGCCTATTCTCCCCTTTTCCATTGCAGCAGAGTCTTTCGAAGAGACAGTCCAGAACCTTCTAGAATATCTGATCGATTTGGTACTCTACCAACGTAACTCGATTTGGTACTTAATTCCCAACGGGGCAGACAAGCGAAGTTGTTGTGAAGGAAGAGGCGATGGAAGACCTGCGAATTCGACAACTCAGCTGGTAGGGTGTGCTTGCTCATCAATGTAACAATCGAACCTGCTTATGTGGGTGCTTACCGCTGGAGTTTGTTCAGAGAGTTCATGCTGACAGCTGTTTGGAGTGCAGATGGGCCACACACTGAAATGGGGTTGTTTGCCGGTGCTTGAATTTGTGGGCAAGCTCATACTCATCGTGCAGTTTCATTCCACACTCGATGAGGAGATTGTCTATTTCTGTAATTTCATGTGGTTGTTCAACCTCATTTGGCTGGAAGTCAATCTTGTTATTATGTTTTAATTTGTGAATGTTCGATAATGAACATGAGTTAGGTGTAGTATTTCTTAATTCTGTCTATTGAATCTTTTTAATGTCTTCAGCAAGGACCTGAACTACAGATAATGTCAAACAATGGCCAGCGGCTTTCCCCTCGAGATTTGGTTCCTGCAGCTGTTCATGTTCTGATGTAAATTATTCCTCATTGTCCAGCATTTACTCAACTTTTCCGGAGAACAAGGTCTCTTGACTGTGGAATGTTAATCACCATGAGGAATGCAATGTTAACTCTACAATGTAGTAATAACTCGTGATCCTGTGCATTACCATCAAATGTGCTGCTGTAGATGCAAAAGATTGGCCGGCTGGTGTTGTTGCACAGCACTGATCCTAGTTGCTGTTACATTGATTCCTATTGCTGGAATACACTGTCTGTGTCTAGGGATTCAACCAGACTTAATGCTACAACTTGATCTTATTTCACTCCACCATGAGAGCAAACAATTGATTAATTTGAAAATATGTAGAAGTCAATTGCAATAAGACCTTTATGTTATTGAGTTGCAACATGGCTATAAAGTGAGAAAAATATGAACTATAATTTAGAAAGACATGGATAATATGGGAGGTAGTAAATTTACTTGTCTTCAATGTGTTTTGTAAAATTGATATCAATCTAATAGCTAGATTAAAGATTATTGAAACTCAATTGGTTTACAGTCTTAAATTTTAGATATCAAGGGTCAATGAAGATTTCTTTGAACTTTTGCAATTTACCAATTGTATTTAGGTAATTTTTTGTAAGCTAATAGTTAACTTAGTTTTTAAAAAATCATAAAGTTTGAAGACAATTGAAAAATGTAATAAGAAAATATAATCACAGGTGGATCTTTATCAAGGTTGAAGAAAGAAGACAATTGATACTTAAGTATCTTAAGAGCATTTTCTCTCAATTAGTGCTTTGGATTCTTTTCAAATTTCTTATGATTGTTATTAATTAGTCGATTATAGTATGTGAAAAATTTAAAGTAAAACCAATGATTTAATTGAGAACTATTGAGGTTTTAAAATTGCTAAACCATTTGATTAGAATTTAAGAGGATTTGATTAAGATTTACTAAGAATTTGATTAAGCTTTGGTTAAGATTTTATTAGAAGTTTTAAAGATTTTTTTAGAAAATTATTGAATTTATTAAGATTTATTTAAGATTTATATAAGATTATGGTAGGATTTGATTAAGATTTACTTAGTACTTGATTAGAATATAGTTATGATATTTTTAGGATTTATTTAAGATTTCTTTATAATAGCTTTATAATTCTTTTTTTTTTTAGGATTTTTAAATTTATTTTAAGATTTTTTAATAATTCTTTATAATTTTCTTTATAAATCATTTAGAATTTCTTTAGAATTTTATTAGTATTCTTTATGATTTCTTTAATGTTTTTTGTGATTTATTTATTCATTCTTTTGGAATTTAATTAAACTTCTTTAGGATTAAATTAAGGTGTGACTTGAATTATAAAGGTTCAATTAAAGGCTATTTAGGATTATATTAGGATTGTTAGATTCTTTGTTATTACAAAATATAAGTTACCTTTCAAAGGTTAATACTTGGTGCATTTTTAAGCAAGACAATATACAATAAAATAATGTTAGCCACAGTGTCTAATCAAATGTTTAGTGTAACAAGGCGTAGATAAGATATTTGTATAATTTGTATTTTTTAGAATCTTCTAGAAAGGTAATTATCTTAGTAGGATGCACCATTAGATACATTTTAGAAAGTTCCAAGATAATTGAATAAAGTATAAATAGGACTACCTGAGGCCATTTGGGTATTTGATCAAATATGGCTTTAGACTCTTTTTCTCAATAAAGTTTGATTGCCTTTTCTTTTGTTCTATTCTGTTTGGTTTTGTTTGGTTCTATTTTCTTTTAATCAATTTTGACTTTCATATTCTATTTTTTTTCAATTATTTTTAATTTTTTTCTAGTGTACTTGGTCTTATGTTGTATCAAGATCTTTATTGTTATGGAATTGATAAGGTTTTAAATATTAAAAAAACTAGTCTTGTTTCATTGATATTAGATCAAGTGTTAGTCTATTCTTTGGTAGTGAGCTGATAGCCACCATTTAGTTGGAAATCAATTGTTATGATCACATCGGATATTATTTTTGGACCACAAGAAGCCACTTTAAGAAGTCAACTAGAAGGAAAGAAGATATTACAGTAGCAAAGTTTAATAATGAAATTGTAGCATGGAAGATATAGTAGAGCAATCCAAATAGACACTTAGATAGAATACCTCCTAGGTTAGATAGCCACTCTACAAGGGTAAATAGAAGCTTTTAAAATAAAAAAATTGACATCTGTTAAATTGAAATTGAGCAAGCTCGATACATACTCAAAGATCTCAAGATAAGAAGATATGTGCCAATAGCTCTTTAGCATGCAATAGTACTTCCAATTATCTAAGGCAAATACTAGCAAAGGAATTATATATGCATATAGTTATTTGAAAGGTGCAGCAGTCATTTGGTCGCAACATTGCATCCAAAGCTATGGAGCTCAAAGTAGATTTTGTGAGTAAGAGGAGTTTGAGACTAAATTTTGGAGTCAATTTTTGTTCGTCAATGCAAGGAAGTTAATACATGATCAGTTGGCTAACCTTACACAATCTAGATCAGTATAAGATTATGTCTCCCAATTCAAGTTCCTATGTTTCTAAATTTATAGTATTTTAGAGGCAAAGATGATCGATTGCTTTGTACGAGGGTTGAAATCTATGGTCCAGCAAGAGGTGGAATTAAGGGATCTACAAACATTTGAAGAGGTAATTAGGATTGTATAGAGGATCAATGCTATAGATTTCAAAAATTGGGAAGTACAACTTATAGTATAGAGTCATATGCCACTAGCCAATATTATGGTACAACAATCAATCTTAATAGAGATTGATGCCATGCAAGGACTACTGACACTTTAGAGACAACAAATCATGGTGGATTCACAATCTTGAGGGTCATCAAGTTGATGAAGAAGTAGAGCAAAAAAATAAGGCTCTTTAATAAAGGTAGTAAGGGCTATTATTAGAAATAATTACTATTTTAAAAAATAAATGATATGGCCTTTAATAACTATCAAAAGGGTCAACTATTATGTCTAATGGGTCGACTAAGAAGATAGCCATGTCAAGTGTTTGTGGATTGTGGCTCTACATGAAATTCCAACTCGATGGCAATTGTCCATCGACTTGGGATTAAAACAAACGTGATCAAAAGAGGGAGTATATATCCAGTAGATGATTGAAAGAATATATTGAGCGAGATAAGTGAAAAAGAAACCCTGAGGTTGAATGACACCTTTGCCTTGAGAGATAAGTTCAGAGTAATAAAGCTTAGATATGATATTATCCTTGGTATGCTATTGTTAGAGATGGAAAATAAATAAGTGGATTGGCTAATAAGGACAATTTCTTTTAAAAATGGAGGATGCACGGTGATTCTTTGTACCTCCGCACCGAGTGGAATAGCAAAACAATCTACGGTTAATTATTTACTTGTAGAAATGACCTTTATAAAGAAACTAATATAGCATAAGCAATCGATACATGTGATGGTTCTGAATCTTATCTCAATGGTAAAAAAGTTAAGTAAAAAAGTAAAAAAAAGATAGAACAACTCATACATGAATATTAGCATGTCTTTTCAACTAATTTAGCTAATGACATGCTACCTAATCAAAGTGCCCTCTTCCAAATAGAACTAATGCTTGAGGCCAAACTAGCAAGTTGGCTAATTTATCACTTAGTACCAAGTGAACTTAGAAAGTTGCAAAAGTCATTGGATGTATTCTTAGAAAAGTACTTCACTCAAAAAAATATGTCACCATAGAAAGTATCTATATTCTTTATACTAAAAAAAGATGGTGGACTTTGACTTTACATCAATTATTGAGGCTTCAATAGACAGACTATCAAGAATACATATTCACTTCCATGTGTGGTTGATTTCCTTGACCAACTTCAAGATATAATCATCTTAGAAAATTGGATCTTTGGAGTGATTATTGGCAGTTCCGTACTATTAAAGAGGATATAGAAAAGATGGCATTCTGTATGCACTATGGACGTTTTAAGTAATTTATATTACCTTTTGGCCTCACCAATGCTCCAACCTCTTTTACGAGTCACATCAATAGATTATTTTGAGACTTTTTGGATAAGTATGGAGTTATCTTTATTGATGATATCCTGGTCTATAATAAAATCTTTAAAGAGTATTAGTAATATCTATAAAAAGTATTGTATTAGCTATGCAATAATTACTTCTATTTTAAGCAATTATAGTGTAAAATTTGAAAGTC